CGGCGCTGGTTTGGTTTGGGCCGGGCTCTCAAGACAAGTGGCGCTAATCCTTGACTTTGCTGCTAATGCACGTCGTATGTCAAACACCAAAAACGTTTACCCCCCGCCGGCATTCCCCTTTCGCCTTTCTTACTCTTTTTGAGCCACCCGCACAAGTAACGCAATTTATATGCCTTCCTCACTGGCTTGTTTGTCTTGGCAACGTCTTCTGCGTTTTTGCCCGCCTTTCAACCCATCCCCCTTGTATGCCATGCATTTTTCTGCACTTTTGACTTTTAAGCGTGCACTTGGCCAGGCTCAGAGCCTCGGTTTCAGCCTCGGTTTCAGCCGCATCCCATATACTCCTCCCTCTGCCTCTCCCCGCAAAAGCCCCACTCGTTTTGCACGCGTTGTTTGTCTTAAGGGATATATACTCTCTGGCGTATGCGAGGGTATTTGCCAGCACTCTGCCGCAGGCATTTTGATAAGAAAAACAAACTCAAACGGGCACACACACAGACTCACTGACTGCCAGCGAGTCGGGCTCGGTCCTGGGCTCAAGTGTCATTTATGCGTTTTAATGCCGGAATTTAATTTTCAAATTAAGTAAATAAGTTTGCGTAAAAAGTTTCTATGGATACAGAGACCGAGCATCTTCATCCACATCTTCATCTGCAGCTCGAGCTGTGCACAAAAGCCGCCCTTGGCTGTTCACTTCGCGAGTTGCAGTCACTCTGCAGCCGTAATAAACTCTTGGCATTGACGAAAAATTATATGGTAAACTATAAGATGCTTAACGGCTCCGGGGCCACTTGAAGCATAATTGAAGCGATTCCAGTCCACAAGGTTCGCAGAAAGAAGTACATCGGTTGCACTGGGGAAAAAAAAGTCCACATGGATTTATATAAAGTTCGAAACAGAAAAAGGCTTAAATAAAATGTTTAAATCGAATCCCATTAAATATATTAAATTTATATTATAATTTCCTAAAAGAAAGGAATAATTGAATTTGTATCCATGAATGGGAAAATATAATGAGGGTACCTATATTATTTTATTTTTATAATAAATGTCATAACTATTGTATTATTTCTGTTTCTGTTTTTCAACGAGTTTTTACCGACTTAGAAATTATTCCTTGTTCCTTGGAAACCCCTTTCACTTGAGGACGAGTTTCGAGTTCCGCGCTGCTCTCAGATGTTCATCTAACTGCACATAATGGTCGATACGATGGCGACGCGTTACGATTCTGGTCGTTTCTCGCTTTGAAGTCATTTTCGTTTCGCTTATAGATTGCCTTTGGCTCTTGGCATTTCCGGGCAATTTTCCTTGGCTATTGTATCAATTTGCAATTATGTTTCAATCAATTTTATTGCCATCTAATCTGCGGAGCAAAATAGATTGCTTTTTCGCAGGGCTTCGAGGATATGTAGCCACCAGCTATGGGGCAGTCATGGATATGTGTTTTAAATTACGACTGAGGACGCCTTCTTTCCGTTCATTCACCTTGGCAACTTTGCTATATTATTGCTATTGTATTTAAATGGTGCTTGATCTTGTATATCACTTGTTTCAGTTGACCTACCAATAGCAATTGCATTTCGGATGGAGCTGAAGAAAAAATTTCAGTTGCTGTCTTCTCGTGAATTATTATTTTTTATATTATTTATATTATTTTTCCCCGAAAATCTGTGTAAGGATTAATTGAAATACTGCATTGTCGAAATATTTAGAGTCATACCTCGTTGAGTTCGTTATTAAATTCCCAATCGATTGGCGTTCACAGCTGCAAATTGAATTTTTAATTTTTGCTTTTGAACCTCCTACACTCATAAAAATTAATTTCTAAATTTTGGAAATCTCGCCATTGAATCGGCCTACCTTTGAAAATAGAAAAAAATTTCTTGTTATTAGAAAATTTGCGTTTGAATACAGAAAACCTTTCTTGATGGAAAAATTCAAGAAAGAATTTTCTAAAAATAGAAAAAGAAAATCCATATGTCTGTTTTGCCGTCGCAGCCAAAACATGTTGTACGTATTTTAGGACAAAGTCACCTTTGAATATATGAATGAAATGACCCTAGAATATAGGAAAGTAGCCATTGCCTTCCTTCGGCTGCCGAATGTTAACGACAAGAAAAACGAAGTGGGACGAAGGCCACCCGGCTACCGACTTCTCGATCCCCGAGCGTCAGTTGTGAAAAAATCGTGAGTGATGGACGTGATTTTCAAGCGGATAAGAGGTGAAGCCTTTTCCAAATATTCAAAGGTATGTAAATATATAATTTTTGTGTAGCGGGCGTACAATTGTATGTATGTAATTAAAGGATAAATTTCAAATCTCTTTACCAAGCGTATACCATTCAGTTGAATTGTTTTTAGCTAAGAGCTACGTACATACATACATTTGTATATAAATTTGTGGGTGTAGAGTTCTATAATAACTTTATCCTATTACTCGCATTTTATTTATTTTCAGAGTGAAAATACCTGCAGTTGCATCAGCCAAATAATTTGTTTGGCAAAGCTGTAATTTTGTTTTAAAACATTCTAAGGTAAGAAAAATATGTTGTATTTGTTTGACATACTTACGGCATACTTGCGGCTCACCCGATCCGAAACCCGATTTTCAACCCTTCATATTCTGCTCCTCTCTCCGCTCGCTTGACCTACGCCTCGCGAGTTCTCTCTGCTCCTTCTTAAAAAGACAGGATCTGCCCTGCTTACATTCGGTCTCCCTTCGCGCAAAGGACTGTATGTAAATATATATGTATGTAGACGGTCCATCCGTGCCTCTCCCTTTTCTTTAAAATTTTTTTTTTCCCCCCTTTTTTTTCCTCCCTTTCTCCCCCTCTCTCGGTCGTCTGACCAACGTGTTTGTATTTTGGCTATTATTAGCATTACATTATTTCAAAAAGTTGTTTATCTAAAAACAAATCTATCAATGATTAATGATATATCCCAAAACTCTTTTTTCTAGATGAGGAAAGGCAAGAAAATGGATCACCTAGGTCATATGAAGTTCAACAGACCTTGGGTAATAACAATGTTTTCTTGAGTCAAAAATGTGTTATTTAAAAATGTTTAAATGTTAAGTGTTAAATGTTTTAAATGTAAATAAATATAATATGCAAAAAAAAACCAAGTTACATTTTATTTTTAGGGTTTCAGTGTTAATATTAAACTTCCTTTCAAGAAATATTATTTCTTAAATCAAGAAATAAAATTTCTTGAAAGGAAATTTAAACAAGAAAGAATTTTCTTGTTTAAAAAGGCTCTAAAAAACCCTTTCTTGTTTTAAGAAATTTAATTTCTTGAAACAAGAAACAAACCTAAACAAGAACGCCTTTCTTGTTTTAAGAAATATTTTTCTTGTTTTTATGGTGGCTTTCAAAAACCCTTTCTTGTTTTAAAAATATAATTTCTTAAAACAAGAAATATTTTTCTGGTTTTAATGGTGCCTTTAAAAAAAAACCATTTCTTGAAACAACGGTGAGGTCGCCTTTGGCAAAAATTCAAGAAAGAATTTTCTAGATTTTAAGGAAATTCTTCGATTTTTTTTATGAGTGTATCTCTTGCTTATCCACTTCTAAGGATATGTGGCCACTTGTGGATACATTTTAAATTCCAATTGAGGAAGCTTTATCTACGCGGCAACAACATTGTCACCTTTGCACCTCTGCTGCTGGCCAATTGTCCCGTTGGCTTGTTAGGCCCGATTGTCGCATTGTGGTATATGACGGCGCTTGTTAGCCGAGTTAACGAGACTTGCAAGTCGCACAAATCCCCGCTCGGAGACTCATTACCGGCCAACGGCCATGTGTTCGCTCAAGCGGGAAAATCAAAGGGTGTGCGCTTTGCAGGGGGCCGCACTGTATGCGAGTAATTGGCCCAAACTGCCCACGCAACTATTTCATAAACAAAATCAGGACACCAGCTGGAGGCCGAAACAGTCCGACCAACCGATTACAAAGCCTGCTAACCGAATTTTCTGATTTCGCAGCGCCATTCAGAAATCGGTGCACTGAAAAAAAGGTGAGTGCTTTATATGTATGCTTTAATATTTTAATATTTTAATATTTTTAGTTTACCCCTCGCCAAGCACAAGTGTGTAAATTTTTAATAATTAATACACTTATTAAATATTAAATATCCATGGATATTTAATAATAATTGGCTATTGGCATGAATAACATTAGGTATATCCAATTGAATACGATACCTTTTCATTTCTTTGTGCATTTGAAGTGCGTTCTATTGCCCGGCATCGATTACATTTTGTCTGCGTGCGGCGAAACATTTATCATCAATTAATGGCATTAGTAAATGTTTGGCAAAGAATTTGGCGCTACCAAAATATTATTGTTATATATGCAGCGCCATAAATAATACCAAAATACCGTTCTTTGTGCCCGCACACACACACACTTTCCCAACTGTTCGCATATTGAATGCAATAAATTTATGGCACATTTTAAATTCAATTGAATTCGTGCGTTGCTTTGTTGCTGCCGCCCCCGCAAATCGTATTCAGGGTTGTATATTTCGTTTTTTAAGCCACACAGCGTCAGCAAATATTGCTATTAATTCTTAATAATAATAATAGCAGCAGCCATGTGGGAAAGTCGGGCCAGTGTGTCTGCCAGGATGACGACTGTGCACTAAGGCTGCACTTTATTTATGGCCTGCACTTTGCACTTTTATTGTTTTTAAATTTATTTACGTATTTTTTTGTATGATTAAAATATTTTTCATTTGCGGCTTAAGAGCAAATTTATACTCGGCAGTGGCTCTGTTGCCTGTTGCCGATGCCTTAAATACGTTTTATAAATTATCCCAGAATTGCCGTGGAATTTTAAATAGTTGTGCTTTATTTAATTACACACAAACACCGCGGGCCCCACATTAATTAATCTGCCATTTGGCCAGGAGAATTTTCGTTTGGACCTGGTTGACTACACTAAATGCCGGACTCAAAAGATTGGGAATGTCACACAGAGCAGACCCTGAATTTTCACTCACTGAATAAGTAGAATAAAAAGTAAGTTAATCAAAGAACTTACTGCCTTGATCTCTAGTGAAAAATGGATGATCTCGCTCGCTTCCTGCACTGGGGACCCATCACTCTCCTGGTTCTCACCCTGATTGTCACCTGGACGGTAATCGAGATGAATGCAATGTGGTGGACACCTGGCAAGGGTCCGGGATCCTTAGTGAACTATGCGCTGATCTGGTTCCACACCTTCGGCACCCTCTATCACTTTATCAAGTCGCTGATGGTGGGTCCTGGCTTCATTCCGCTCAAGTGGCATCCTGAGAGCGCCAAGGACACGGAGTTCCTGCAGTTCTGCCTGCGCTGCGATGGCTACAAGGCTCCAAGGTCGCATCATTGCCGCCGCTGCGATCGCTGTGTGATGAAGATGGATCACCATTGCCCGTGGATCAACACCTGTGTGGGCTGGTACAATCAGGCCAGCTTCGTTTACTTCCTGCTCTTCTTCCTCTCGGCCAGCATTCAAGGAAGTATCATTATAGTCTCGGCCGTTATCACAGGAGTACAAAAGCGACATTATATCCGCCAAGGATTGGATCACCTGGCCACGGTTACTTTGACCCCAACTAATTTGATGGCCTGTGTGGTTAGTCTTGGAGTGACGACGGGCATTGGATTGGCGAGCATCAAGCTGCTCTACATGCAAATGAAGGTGATTCTTCAGGAACCAAACGGAGATCGAAAGTTGGATCGTGAAGAAGGCGGTGTTTCGTCGCAACGCATATCCTGGCAACAGGATCAAAGCCTTTGTCTTCCCCTACAATTTGGGTTGGTGGATTAACTGCCGCGAGGTTTTCCTCTCCTCAGGCGATGGCATTTCGTGGCCAGTTGCAGAGGGTTGTAATCAATACACTCTTACAAAGGAACAATTGGAACAGAAAAAGGATAAGAGGGCCCGCACTCGCCGCTACATTTGCACTCGTCCTGCCACCGGTCACTGGGTGCCCATTCTGTCGCAGGGTCTGTGGATATCCCTCCAGATTCCCTGCACCGATGATCCTCGCATTGCTCTGCAACCAGGTGATTCCATCCTGGTGACTCGCATTCAGGACTACTGGCTGTATGGTGAAAGGGAGCTATCGGCGGATGAGAAGGACAAGGGAATGAGACGCAAGGGTGCTGTTAGGGGATGGTTTCCAAGCTGTTGTGCCATGGAAATACTGAGTGAAGATTCGGAAAACGAGGAGAATCACGATGATGTAGCCGGTGGAGAACCTGGCCAACAAGAATCTGAAAAGGCAGTTGAAGAAACTATTCCAAACACAAAGATCTCTAGGGATTTTCCCAGCCAAGATGGAAAGCCCCGCAAGCGCCTGCGAGTGCAGTAAAGGGTATTTCCTCTGCCGACTTTAATCCTGAACAGAAAAACCCCTCCAATCGCCGCAATGAAATTGCTTTGGTCTACCGACGCATTAATCTCTTAATGCTTAATGCTTTTCAATAATGCATTAATAAATATATAAATCCCGCGTCGGGGCAGCAAGCCAAATGAGAATGTTAATGTTAATGCCGTCTGATCGGCAGGAGTTCATTCTATGTCCCGTAATTGAGTTGCAGGCCCGATTTCACGGTACATTGGCTTTAAAGTGACGCCAGCAGCTGCTCTTAACCAACTGTGTGTGTGCATCTGCTGGCAAGTAATTTGCAAAGCTCCATTCTTTTTTTTTCTTTTCAAGTTAGGTATCCGTGACAGGAAACAGGACACACACACACATTCTCTCTGGGATGGTAGATAAAAAACTAACTGCAACAAGGACGAAAGGGGAATCAATTGAAATGCACGACCTGCTAAAGTTGAGCTGAGTCGCGGATTTGCCTTTGTACCATAAACATGACCATGCAAATCAATACAACTCCTATATCCTATATCGAATATCCTCTGAATCTCTATCTGCAGATGGAGTAATGGTGTAATGGCGCATGAGAGGCCAGACAAAAGGTGAATGAATTCCGTTGAATCATTAGCGTGGCGTTGGCGTCTATTAAATTGAAAGGCCGCCTGATCAATGGGATTTCCTCCACTCCTCCACAGCGAAGTGAAGTGAAATGAATACCCAGGTTGGCCGATGGCAAAAGGCATTGAATAATCACTTGAAGCAATCATCACTCCTGTTTTGAGTGATGGGGAGGGGGCTTTGTAACTGGATCGGCAAACAAAGCCTTCGCTTGGGGATTTGGAAGTGCCATGTTGTCCAAGTCCAAGGCTGCGGCTGCGTGTTTAGCTCAAAATTAGATAAATGCAATTTGAATTTGTGTGTAAGTTGTAGGAAGCAGGCCGCTGGGAAATCAGTTGTCGTTGTCATGAGTTAATAGGCGCTGGGAATTGGCGGGGAATTGTGAGTGGGTGGGATGCTATGTAGTCTCATATGAGCGACGCTGTGATAATTCAATGCAAAAGAGCTCCAGTAGTCAATAATAAATATTTGCACAAAAGTGTTGGGGCGCAGGGGAGCGTGAAACTGCTTCGAGATGCCATCATGGTATCAGGGTATCAGTGGAGCTCCCCAGAAATCCAGGACTCTCTAATCTGCGTGCTGTTTGGGGTCATTTGGGTGACGGCGTGGAAAATGCAAAACAAATAATCGCTTCTGGCCAGGCGAAAAATCAATAGAAAAAAGGATTCCGTTTTTGTCGGACTCTGTCTGGGGAATTGAGGTTAGCATCGGGACCAGAAGCTGGGGCATCTCCTCTCCATCCGTAGCAGTTAAAAAGTATGCAGTAAAAATAGCCATAAATAAATCTGCGTAAAAATAAAGCATGTGCCAACAGCCATAAACATAAACAATGCAACTTTCTGTGCCGTTTTCGCAGCTAGTTTTCTTGTTTTTTTTTTATATACAGATATATGTTCCACTCCATGATGGCAGGGCTTTTATAAAGCGGAAACAAAATAAATTTTACATAAACATTTGCCACATAACAAAAGGGAACTTTAATGACTTTTGTCGTTGCAAAATAATTGTGCGTGAATTTTTCGCTGCCACACACAAATCGCTTTCGGTGGGAGTGGGAAGTGGAAAGTCGAGGGAGAATGGAAGGAATGGCAGGACTCAGCTCGCTTTCAATGTCCTGCTGGCATTTAATTTCACGGACTGTCGTCCATTTTATGCTTTGGCAACACTTTTGACTTTTATTTTGAGGCGCTCCCTTGTTTTTTTCCCCTCTCCACTACAATATAAATCCCCCAAAAAATCCACCCTCTTCCTGTTGCCTTTTCAGGGGGCCGTCGTGATTGGAAGCTGATACCCCCGCTTTGGAAAACGCTTTAAGGACGCTGCTTTGTCCGCCCTGGCAATTATGTGCACTATGACGACTCGGCATTTATCTGCTCCACAATGACGATGACGAGGACAACCAAAGCCAAGCTACGCAAGCAGGTGGGGAGACACTCGCACTCGTATCACTTACAGTCTGGCAAGCAGAACAAAGGCAATTATGGCATCATTAGAGCCAGATGCAGCAATTGCATCGGCAGGAAGCACTTATCCCATATCGGTAGCAGCCCGAGTGCCAGAGTGGATAAAAGCACAGCAGCTTGCTCATCAGCTCACAGCTCACAGCAGCACAAAGGCGATCAAATGCCATATGCACAAGCATTTAGGCTAGAGTGGACCTTAATAAAAGAAATAAAACCATCAGTCAATTTTTTATCTGGAAATAAATATGGTTTAATAATAAATTGTTAATAACAATTGCTCATCTCTTTCACTACTTACCAATAAAACTATTGAAAAAATTTTAAAAAATTTAATGCAAAGTAAACAAATATTCAAACGCATTAATATTTATAATATTCAAAGATAAACTTTAAAAGGACAAACATTTTAAATACAAATTATTACAGATCTATGATATAATTGAAAAACTAAATTTAAAATTGGTATTCAGAGCAATAATCCAAATAAATTAAAAGCAAACAAATGATTTTCAAAATGTTGATTAGGATTTACATTATTTTTTATTTACTGAAGAATTTATTTTAATTTCGAGCTATGATTACTTTAAATTCTTGTTATGTTTATGACTTAAATTAAATCAACATTAAGTACTAGCAAATAAATTCTTTAACTTTAGATGCCCCTAGCAAAGCCCACTCAACTGAATACCACTTTAACTTACATTGGCTTTGAAACTTTCCGGTTTCCATTGAATTAGGGATGAGCTGTAGGCCAACTGCTTAGACTTGGAGCCACCTTTGAGCTCGATGACTGCAATCGCAATCCAATCAGAAAGTTGTAAAAATGTAAAAATGATCGAGTTGTTAGGGACTCTTGGATTCTCATGGAAACCGCCTCACTTGTAGCCCACATTTGGAACTTCAATTTACTGCACTAGCTTTTTCGGCGTGCTATAAATTCCAGGAATTGATATTGAATGCCCGCCCGTTACCATTCCGGCTTTCCCTATTTTCCCCTCCGATTTCCATTCACGTTCCGCATCGCATCGCTCACTCGGCCGCGCTTTCAATCAATTCAAATGCCAAACGTCTAACAAATTGTACGATTTTCGCGAGGCACTGGGCTACACAGCTTCAGCTTGGGCTTTTTGTTATTAATTTGGCGCCCTGGGCGATTCGCAATTCCGCATGGATTAGTGCATTGGATCCCTGGACGAGGACCTCCTGGCATTTCTGCTCCACTGGCGGCCCTGATCTGTTGTGGATCATTGAATGGACCAGTCGAACTCGAAGCTGGTGTTGCGAAATTGCATTTGGCTCCTTCGCTTTGTGCGCAAAACTTCTCGTCGTCCTGTTGGTCGTCCTTGTTTATTTATGACGCCGGCCGAGCGGGCAAACCCAAAGGCAAAAGCAAAGCAATTTTTCATTATTTAAAATGAAGTGAATTGCAGTCGGTTGTTCCTGTTTTCCTTGGCCCCATCTTTTCATTCGTTCTTCATAAATAATTTATTAATTATAAAAGTTTCTGGCACTCTCTGGGCGCATGCAAATTCCAGTCCGGCGACTCTTCGTCCTTTTCGTCCTGCCGCTGCTCCAGTGAGTGGCAACAGTTGCAAGTGAAAGTTGGGCCAAATATAGCCAAAATATTACTTGCAATGTCATTTTGCGACTTGGCAGCAGAAACTTTTTATTAGTTGGCACTGGCACTGGGGCTCAGTGGACCCAGTGTTTGTCCAGCTCCATCTATATCTCCATCTCCGTCCATGGACTTGGACTTTGGACTGGGGTATTTTTCATATTTTAATTGACAAAACTTTTGGCCAAACTGAACTGATGGGTTTTTGCTTAGTTTCTGTTACTGTTACTGCAGCCTAATCAAACTGAGCCCAAGAAAGAGACCCAGCATCTTCAATCAAGTCGTCGGGTTTGCACTTAAAGTTTTCAGTTAATTGAGAGCCAAGTTTCTGGTCTCTTAAAGGCAGAAAAGAAGGAGCACTTCCCTGAACTCTTAGAGGGGGAATCTCTGGCCGTTTTCAAGGCTTTAAGTGGCTGCCATTTAATGGCGAATGCATCATGTTTGATGCATGTGGCAACAACCAGCCACGTCACTCAGACTGCAGGCTGCAGGCTACAGGCTCCATCTTCATCTCTAAATCCTGTGGCAATCGCGCACTCAAATTGTGGCAGCAAGTTCCAGGACCACCGTCTCCTTCGAAGGACCTCTCAGTTGTGTGTTTGTGTTTGTGTCAAGGTTTATATCTTAATATGCAAATACTGCAAGTCTCTACTACGGGTGCCTCTGAATGCCTCATAAATTCGTGATTAATGTCGCCCGCTTTGATTCCGTATGCCGAATCAGGTTTTAATGCACCTGCCACTTAGGCGCTGCATTTAGTCGTCTAGATCATGCAGCATTAATGGCTCGCAAGTTGGGGGAATACTATTATTGGCTTAGACGCCTCCTTGTTACCTTAATGTGTCAGCCTAACGAAATTAGCATTAAAATTTGCCAGATTCCATGTGTGACTAAGTTAATTTTCGTCACCATCCAAAGGAATGGAATACAAGGAGGAGTGCCTGCTTTTACCGGGAACAAAGGACATTGATTGCCAACGACACGAGCCTAATGAAGTACGAAGCACAAAGCCATTTAATGTCAGGACATGGAGGGCACAACATTTTCGGTCAGGTTGCCGAAGATTACATCATTAATGTCCTCGAAAGCTAAGAGCAAAAGGATTGCCTGCGTTGTTAATTAGTCGCTGGCACCAGGACTAAAAAAATCTATAATAATAATAAATAATAGTAACCATGAATATTTATGGGCCCACGGCCGCAGTTTCCGCTGCGATTTCTTTCGCGATTCCATTTCCATTTGATTGAAAACAGTGCAGAAATCGATTAAATTAACTGCTCTATCAAATTACGCAT